GGTAGCTGCTGCACTCGTCGTCACCGAGTTGGCGTTGACGGCATTGACATTGGTAACATTCGCAACAGCGTTCACCGACGACGACGGGTTGCTCGAAGCGGAAGTAGCAGCGGCGGTCGCGACGGTAGTATCGTCGAGGCCTGTAGACGTCGCCGGTAGGACTGTCTGCCCGGTTACCCCGCCGACGGCGACGCCGGACGACGCGACGACTCCGTTACCGTGATGATGGTGATGATGATGGTGATGGTGATGGTGGTGATGGTGGTGTCCATGTCCGTGGTGAATGGCGGCACCTACCACCACTTCCTTCTCGTAGCAGGCGGCGGCCATGTTGTCGGGTGCGCCTCCTCCTCCTACTATCCGGGCTTCCGCCGGCGCGCCGCCGTCCCTTCTCGCACGCCCGACGCTGACGACCCACGATGACCCACGGTGTCGAACGCTAGGCCCTCATGACGCGAAACTCTCGCGATGATTTTCGTCGACGACGGTGATCCGCTCTTCTCCGTCGTCTCGAACAACGTTTTCCGCCCTCCCCCCCCTCCCCCTCCGTTGTCAAAGCGCGCCGCGAGGAAGAGGCCGGTTGAGATTGCGCTCGCGAGCTACCTCGAGGTAGTCGTACGCGAGCGATGTATCAAATATTCGTCCTTGCCGTTGAATAACAATGACGATGACGATGACGGAGGACGAACTTGCTGGGGTGGTCAGTGACGACCACGACGGTACTCCCCGACTAGACTCACGCACTCTCGAGCGAGTCGGAGTAAGAGGATATAGCTCATCGCCGCGGTAGCCTTAGCCAAGGGTTGGACCAAAAGGATATATCCAACACCGAGGAAAGCTCCCGAGAAGAGGTCCAGCGCGTGCGGCGAACGTATTGTACTATCGCATGTTTCTTTCTTTCTTTTATATTTCGGACAAAAAGCTCATTCTAGTGTGGCAATTACGTACGGGGGCCCCTATTACTCTCCCTGGCGTTTAATGCTCGCTCGTTCAGGACGGTCGGTCTTCTCTCGTCACCGCTCGCTGTCAGGACCACCCGTTCTGCAGCCCTCTTCCTTTCTCCCTACCTTCTCTCTCTCTCTCTCTCTCTCTCTCTCTCTCTCTCTCTCTCTCCCTTTTCTTCCTTCTTCCCGACTCCCTCCCTCTCTCTCTCTCTCTCTCTCTTTCTTCGTCTACCTCACTGACCGGTGTCTTCTTCGTCTCTCCTTCTTCGCGGCCACCTCTCACGCGTGCTTCACTTCACTGTCACGAATCGCTCGAGGGTCCGGGTCGCGCAACCCGGTCGTCGCCGATGCCCGCCGCCCCGCTCACGGATCAGCACACCGCGCCGCGTGTCAGCTTCTCGCGAGGCGAACCCGTGGGAACCCCGTCGCGTAAGCAGTACTGGAGTATCGTCGGGGTGTCGTCGGGCCCGTGCCGACGTCCGACTGACTGACTGGGCGTAGTAGCGCGTTCGGTTCGCTCAGTCGCGTCTGTGTGTGCGCCGTCGCCGTCTATATTGTGCGACGCATGGGTCCCCCGATTCGTTCCGCCTCCTCGGTGTCGCCTCTTCCTGCACGTCTCGCTCGCTCTCTCTCTTTCTCTCTGTCTCTCTCTCTCTCTCTCTCTCTGTCTCCCTCACGTGCACCCTTATACCGTATGTACAAAAACCACGGCGACCGTTTTCCACCCTCGCGTCCGCGTGTACGATTCGTCTCACTCGGATGGATCGTGTCGGGCACGTCCTACACACCGCGGCGTGCGTGCGGTCTGCGTGCGGACGCGTGAAACGTGCGTGCGTACGTGTTATGTATGTATTTTTTTATACATTTGCATATAGGTACATGTAGGTGTGTGTATGTGCGTGTGTGTATGCGCGAAGCGCAACGCAGACAGGTGAACGCGGCTCGATCGTCGCGCACTGACAGCCGAGCTGCGACTGAGAGCCGAGTTCCTGGGGGACCCTCGACGGGCTCCCCTCCCGAACGGACGCTCGCCGGTACTCACGCGTGGTCGATCGCGGAGAGCGGGCTAATGCCGGGTTTACACGCTCCGAAAGCGACGGGTGTGAAACGTCCAATTTTTACTGTTTGCAGGATCCGCATTTATTCGTACGCTTCGAGACACTTGAAATAAATTCAAATTTGTGTTTGCAAATTTTTAATTGTACATCACTTATTAAATTGTCATTTATTAAATTACATAACCGCTCGAATTTTTCTCTCACGGTACAATAATATTTTTTATCTACTTTTCTAATACATACACTTGTCATTCTAATTAATTCTAATATAACATAATGCGGCATGTATATTGTTCGGAGTAATTATCTTCGGAGCTAGAATATCGCCTAATTGGAGTCGCAACGTGGTGAATTAAAAGACGGATTTAAATCGCCTTGATCGCAATGCGCTTCGCTTACACTTCGTGCACTCGGAACGAAATAATTTCCGAGGTTCATGGAAGAGAGAAGAAGAAAAAAAATCTTGTGAGAAAGTTCAGAAGAAAATTTAAAGAGACGGATGTCCGTTCTTGTCTTGGGAAAACGCGCTGGTCTGTCGCACGTTCGGCAGTACTGCACCCGGGTGCACTGGCGCTGCTGTTCACATCCACACCACTGCGAGCGAGAGTGCGAGGACACGTGATGGCACCGCTCAGACGCCGTGCAAGTCAGTGCATCGCGTGTAAGTACCGTCCAGGATTTCTGTGATGTCCACCCCTCGGTACGCGAGGTCGACATGAGCGGCGAGTCGGCGCTTCATCGTAAGATGTATTACTTAGACGTTTCTCTGTTAGTACATTCACTATTTCATCATACGTAGACGTGATCGCGGCTAGTCACCGCGAGACATAACCTGTACGCGCGACTCCCTCGAATTTGAATCCCATTGTCGAGCGAGCGCGACTGACCGTCGACGCCGAGAACCGAGAGATTTGCGTATTTAGAAAACTCCTATCTACCATAAAGGATACAGCAAAGCTTATTTCTATTTGTAGAGAAATTCCATCCGATCCCGATCTCACAGTGTCTCCTGTGTATCTCAAGAAGAACATTTTGGAAGCCGTTCGATCGCTGTTCGGAGAGGAAGGAGCCAAGAGTCCTGTAGACATTCTAAAGCTCTCTCCTGAAAAGCGTAGATTTGTCCTACGCTGTCCACATAACAGTTACGTCCGACTACGAGCAAGCTTGACTTTGAGTACAAAATACGAGGGGAAGACGTGCGTGTACACGGTTCACCGAGCATCGCCGAATTTATTGTCGTTCACTGCCAACAGTAGGACGTTCCAGCACGGAGAAGTCCCTCTGGATTCTTCGCCATGCCACTGATACGTAAAGAGGGCAAGGACACCATTATCTTCGCATCTAAGGAGGATCATGCGGTGCCCAGCAAAATCAGTCTTCCTGAACCGGAGCCCAGTCCCGGACTGTTGTTACCCAACGGTGAAATCAATTGGAACTGTCCGTGTCTAGGAGGCATGGCGACTGGGCCATGTGGTTTAGAATTCCGTGAAGCCTTCTCCTGCTTCCACTACTCCACCGCGGACCCAAAGGGCTCGGACTGTCGCACCGCGTTCGAGACGATGCAGAGCTGTATGTCGCAATATCCGGCTCTGTACGAAAGCAAGGGCATGTCGACAGACGACCTGGAAGACGAGGAGATTGAGGAAGAGATGAAACAGAAGAAACAGTCGTCGGAGGGTAGCGAGGATAAGAGAAAGGTGGTGGTTGCTAGTCAAGGCTCGGATTAGCAATAGTAGTCTCTTTCTTATATGTATCTTACTATTTTAATTACTTTAAGGAACTTAATTTTACCTGTTGCCTGTATAGTTCAAAATAAATTTTTTGAAAGAACATTTGCAATTAAAGTTAGATCTATCGCTATCATAAGTTTGCGAACAATTTGGAGCAGGTAAAATTGTATCTCGAAATAATTCGGAGTCCTCCGAAGAAATACTTTACTGTTATATGAAGACACATGAGTGAAAAATGCTATATTCGTTTCTTCGTGTCTATTAATATTTCTCGTGAACTTATACAATTCCCAGTATCGATTATTTGTTGCAGAACAGTCTTGAAACAGTTTAAACCGAAACTGGAATAGTAACGTAACAAATTAAATTTCACTATATGGAACTGACCATTTAAATCTTATAATTCTACATTCTCTTTGCAAACTAATATAAGTCGGAATGAATTTCAGTTCTGCCTGGAAAGAAAAAATCTATTTTTCTTTGTATTTATAATTTATATTACAACTTTCACTTTTACTTTTTTCCTCTTTGCAATACATAAATACGCATATACATATATTTCAATTTAAATATAGGATATGCCTCGGAAGTCTAATGGCTTAGGACGCTCGTACGGAATACAAGAGATCCGGGTTCGAACTCCCGGCCGAAATAATATTTTTCGCAATAAATTTAATTACAACTTTTCAGTATATTAACACCTTTATAATATGATGCCTGATTGAGCATCAAAATTATTAAAATTACTTGTCAATTTAATTCGCGAGTTTACTACAGTAGTTTAATTGCGTTAATATAGTCTGGAAAAGAATTCGGCGCGCAGTTCGAAAGACTATAAATATGGTATATATGCAAGTACATATATATATAGTATATTATATAGTATATATAGTATATTTAGTAATTCAAGATTAAATTATTTGAGCATTAAAGATCCAGCTTCGACCGTTACAGGTATTTTAATATTGATTATGTTCTCATATAAACGGTCTAAAATATTACATTGTTTATATATAGGAAATTGAAAGAAGTACAAAACGAAAGTATCGGTTGTATCTACTTTCTCCTCGTTTAAATCTGTCTTCTTTTCACGGCGCACTTTATTTAAGGGATGTACTATATCTTCTTTAAAAATTGATCCTGTTCTGCACTCGAAAACGATACCATTTTTTGTTACAATTCTTTCCAATCTACTACACAATAGTTCTTCGAGTAACATCCTGAAGACGCCCATAGAATGTTCTAGGATATCCTCTGGACATCCTTAGGCCATCTCTTGGAGAATTGTGTTGTGTAGGATAATAAATACTTTTAATTTTATTAAAAATAAGAGCACGGAATCTTGCATAACGCATAAAAAAATGAGCGAATCAAAATCCTTCATTTCCTACTTTTCCATGCAATAAAAGATTTCGAGTAGTTAATTTTCTTATACTTTATGCATCATGCGTTATGCAAAGGTCTCTTCTCCTACCTTAATAACAGAAGAGCCTTAATTATGACTTGATTGAGAAACTTTCACAGAGATCTCAGCGGTTCAAATCTGCCGCGTGCTGTCTAGGTCGCTCGCTACTTCTCGCAGACGTCGCCCGATGGCGGAGTCTGGCCGCGTGACGTCGGCGCGCGTTCGTCCCACCCCTCCTCGGATAGTCATTCCGCTCGCTTATGTAGTCGTGACACCAGCATCGCGGATTATCGGGCGCAACGCGATAATAACAGAGTCCCGCCGTTCGCCAGTAGCCGTTTACGGTAGCGGCAACGTCTCGTTCGTCATCGTCCGTTGACGCTATGAGTTTGTCGTTGCTCTCGCGGCCCGTGCGCCCGTCGGAATTAGTGTTGAAAAGCGTCGTAGCCCGTTGTCTCTCGGTCGCAGCGTAGCGCGACGTCGAGCAGTGACACGCGTCGCGTGCGTACATCGATCACCAATACCGACGCCGAGACAGATCTACGGAGCGACAGAGACAGAGGGACTTATAGACGGTGAACAAAGTGCGGCGAGCCAAGTTTCCGTCAAGTCGGCCGGTTAGAAAAGAGCGGAGCTCTCATTAACGCGCGCGCGCGCGCGCACGCCCCCGGATACGTTCCTTGGCAGTGACCGAGAGTGTCCTGGTTTTCGTGCGCCGGTGCTGCTCGTGGAGAAGCGCGTCGCGATCATCCCTCGGTCCACCGTAACGTCGCTTCATCATGGACACCCATAAGAAGGAGAAGAAACACAAGGAGAAAAGGAGGTGAGTCGCTTGCGCGCGCGCGAGCGCGCGCAAGAAGGAGAGGGAGAGACAAAGAGACACATAGAGATCAAGAGAGAGTGCGTGAAAGTCGCGTCTTTATTTTCGGAGCGACCGTATGGATCCAGGATGACGTGTTTTCACTTGCGGTTGTATCCGTTCGAACGTCCGACAGACGTTGACGCGAGATCTGTTTTTTTATCTGTTCTAGACCGTAACTGGAAACTGTCTTTCTTGTTTTCGCCAAATGTATCAAACATATACCTATCTCACTTTAAGAGTATCTCCAAAAGGTGTATATTAGTTCAGCCACAAAAAACAGACTTGTGATAATATCACTTGTAATTCGTAAACTCAATGGCATTTGGGGGAACATGGGGAGAGAGAGAGAGAGAGAGAGAGAGAGAGAGAGAGAGAGAGATGAACGAGAAAAACGTGCGTGTATGTGTGGTTCGACGCAATCGCTCCGCTTCTTTGATGTACGGGATCGTCTCTCTGTCTCTTACTCTGATTGCAATGCTTCATCTCACTCGCACCTCCCAGCGGCGCTCATTTCCGTCTCTGTCTAACGCCACGTGATCCCCGTCGTCTGTCTCCGTCGCTCTCGCGGATTCTTTATCGGACTTGTCGCTTTCGTTCTCTCTCTTTCTTTTTCTCCTCTCTCTCTCTCTCTCTCTCCTTCCTCTGCCGTTAAGTCTCTTAAATCAAACGAAAAAAATTCTAAACAAGTGTCAATAAGATGCTCCGTCTTTCTTTTTTTTATTAGTCAATCTGTCTTATTTTGATTGGTCTTTAAGTTATTTACGATACCGCACAGCACAGTTGCTCCAGTTTTGCTCTTCCTTCGCATCATTATGACTTATTTACGACTTGCTACTTTATTAGAATTGATCTAGTTTCTTTATCCTCTTATTTATACGTCATTAAACTAAATTTCTGCTCTATTGTAGCCACCTATGACTTTGTCTATCAATTCGAGATTTGTTTTTTCGAAAAATGTTTGGGATTTGTTTCCGCATTCGAATTTTTCAATTCGAATCAAATTTTTAAAAATAATGTATTATATTTCTACATCTCCAGGATTGCCACAAAATTGAAAATCAGGGAAATTAGGGAAATATCAGGAAATTTTGCAAAATTTTCTGGAAAATAAAAATTCACTACTTTAAAGAAGTTTAATATGGCTACATCACATCTACGTAATCTTGGAATATTACCAACTTAACAATTAAAAATGCAAGAAATATCATTAGCAACATTAATAGTAATTAATTCTATATTAAATAGTTTTCTCAACAAAATATTCGATGGTTTCCAAATCAGGTCAAAAAATTTTAAAATATTGAAAGAAAATTATGAAATTTTGTCTGGAAATCAAGGAAAAGTTTGAGTATTTTAGGATGAAGAATTTGTGACATCTTAATTTCGTTATTTAATGTCCGCAACAGGAATCTTTTTTTTTCTGTCTTTTTTGTTCAATTTTTTAGCGGCACGCTGCGAACGATCTTTTTTATGTCGTGGCGCAACAAGCTCGTGAAATGTACACGCAATATGAACTACCGTTTTTCGAACATTTACTACTTCAAATATCATTAATACGACATCACCGATAGTCTTTTTTGGAAAGATCCCGAGGTTCGATTTCTCTTTTTTCTTGGTCGCGTGCACGCGAAGCGTTTATTATACACTCGTCGACGACCCCAGCAGTTAATATTCCAGTATTTTATTAGGTGCTATTACGTAAAATGATATAGAAGTCTTGGTTATCCAGGAATATATCTCACATTCAGCCTACATTCGCACGCGGTAGTTGCGAAAATTTCATCATTTTACGTCACCAACAGCCGAACGTACTCAATCTTTATCAGTGAACAAACAACAGAACAGTATGTCGCTATTGTAATATTTGTAATTGATTTCGATCAATCGTTGAAATAGATAGATAAAAAAATTTTAGTTATTTCCTTGATGAATCAGTTTCGTTGATCAATTTCGTCGATCATTTTTATATCATAAAATTATAACAACTATATTATTATCTTCATCAATAATAAGTAAAAAAATAAAAATCTACAGGATGAGCTCGATCGTTCCGGTCAGACTGAGATTTTATAGGAGATTTAATTTTGAACAAAAAGTTTCTTATAAACATAGATTAAAAAACGAAAATTCCTTAAAAGTTCGCATCCAAAAGTTAGCATCTCTGAAAACGTGATTCTTTTACATATTTTTACAAATATCAGGGAAAATATGTTTTTTTTTTAACAAAAAGTAGCAAAAGTTGAAAATTAAATATTATAATTTTTTAAATGAGATGAAAATGCGACACATGTTTATAGGAAATTTTTTCAGAATTAAATTTCCTATA